GACAACAGTCCAGCTTCATCCTCTTTGCAGCCCCCCTGCAGGGAGGTGAAGGCTGTTATTCAATCCCCCTCAGATTCTCCTGCAGACTCAATCAGCCCATTTCCCCCAGCCTCTCCTCACCAGTCCTGTCCCTCAGCCCCTCAACCATTTTTGTTGCCCTCTGCTGGACTCTCTCCAATTTGTCTACATCCTTTATGTAGTGGGGGACCTAAAACTGGATTTAAAGATTATGGTCTTGTAAATAGGGGACCCAAAACTGGACTTGTAGATTGTGGTCTACAGGTTGGAGAATTGTGTGGTTCTGCCCCAAGAGTGGAAAGCTGTAGGGGTTTGCTTAGTGCAGCTAGCTTGGAGACAGCACCCCCCTGGAGAGCATGCGTAAAGAGAAGGTGGCTCCAACAGTCACGTTTCTTTAAGGTTGTTGAAACGTTTCCTGGATTCTTTCTTTCTTCATGTCTTCTGAAATTAAGCCTCATTAGGTTACTTTGCAAAGACTGCCCACTTTTGCACTTGCTTATTAGCAACTATTCAACAAGAGCTAGTGAGGTATGTAATACATGTTCACATATTTTTCTCCCCTGGTATAAAATTAGCTTAGCGTATGCAAAAATGGGCAGGAATCCAACCACAACACATTTGCTCTGTAGAGCGGTTGGACTGCCACTTCTTCAAGTGCTTTGTGTACGACATGTTTTAAAGGCACTAGTCATTCACTTATTGCCAATTGCAGGTTGGCGTAACTGCTGGTATTTCCAAGAAAACAACAACGTATTCTTTGATGTTTGCAATGAAAAGGAGGAAAAATAATCTCCTTGCAATTAGTCTAACCCACAGAAGTCCAAGGTAGGCTGTAATGATACTTGACTAATTTGCAGGGTTGTTGTGAGTAGCAAGCTCATTAATGGTTGTGAGGTGCTCTGGCACAATGGTGATAAGAGCCCTAAGTACCTACGTAGCTTATAATCAGATTTCATAATATCCAGCAAAAATGTTCTACATTTTCAGGCATTCCAAGCAGTCAGCATAACTGCTCCAACAGCGCAGGGCTGTTTATAAGTTACTTAAGGGATTTTAGTCTATCAGCCTTGAATTTCCTGCATGGGTATCCTTCCTGCAGCTAGGCAGTCTCAATGATGTGCCTGTTTTTAAATAATTGTGAAGCACATCCTATGTCCTGTGACATTTTTCTACAGCCTTGCTCCAACTCTGTTTGGATTCTCTGGCCAAGCACTTAGCCACTTAAATCAGCACAAGCAGCTTGACTCGTTTTTCGGCAGGTTGGACTAATTAAGAGATTTTTTTCCTCCCCCCTCCCCTTTTCATTGCCAAGATCAAAAGAATCGGCCTCCGCATGTCTCGTTCCAGAGCTTGAACGGTGAGATTATTCTTCCCTTTTTTACTTGGCTATATAATCTGAAAATGAATGGATCTCTCTGCTGGTCCGTCAGCAATGTGCAACTGCCCAGCTGTGCTAATTTGAATGCATGAGGTCCCGTGAAAGCTGCCTTTTAGGGCAGTCTGAGGAAGTTCCTATTCCACTACGTGCATGTTATAGTGGGTGGGCTTTTCAGAAGTCCTCGGTCTAATTCTGCTGTCACTAATTTGCTGATGAGGCTCTCCTTGACTTTGGTGGAAGCAGAATTATGCTAAGAATGTAATTTTTTTTGAGAATGCCACCCAGTTGCATGTATAATAGTCATCATTTAAAATGTTATCATTTGCCAACTGTTCTCCAAAGTGGTTCCTGAAATCCAGTTGGCAATATATGAAAATATGAGGAAAGGTTGCGGGACCTGAACCTGTTCAGCCTTCAAAAGAGAAGGCTGAGGG